GCGCCGCACGGCCCTCACGGCCGCGGCGCGGCCGCCGCGAACGATTTTGGGCTGGGCCGCAGCACATGTGGCGCAGCGACACACTAATACGGGATGGCATCGGCGCGCGCCCCCTGCGCACGGCGCCCTCGGCGCCGCGGCGGTGCCGCGCGCCCTTCGCGCCCCCAGACCGCGGGGGCTGCGCCGCCGCCGCCGTCCCCCCTCCAGGCGCCCTACCCCACCCAATATTGGGTGCGGGCGCCAGCTCTGGCCAGGCACCGCTCCCCGCGGCGCCGGGCGATTTAATGGTTTGCAAGACTTGGGCAGGCAGGCAGGCAGGCACCCGCACGCTCGCACGCAGCTACAGCATACGCACGCGCACCCGTCCGGCCACTCTGGTGGCGATTAAAAGCAGCCGGGGCACCGCGAAGCAGGAGTCGGGGCCGCGCACATGCGCGAGCCCTCCACCCATGCATGTCTCTGCCCGCACGCGGCGCTCAGCGCCGTCCGAGCGCGCACGCGCCGGCTTGCCAGCGCCGCCGCCGGCGGCGGCGCGCCCAGGGCGCCGAGGCGCGAATGCGCGTCGCGGCGCGACCTGGCACGGCCTGGCGCCGCGACAGGGGAACCCGGGGGGGTGTCGACGGCCCCGAGCACGCACGTCGCAGCCGCCATGGCCGCGCGGGCTGCGCTCGGCGGAGGCCTCCGCCCCAGGGGCCCGCCCCTCTTCTTTCCGGGCGCCCCCGCCCCGCCGCTTTGAAGGCGTGTACCGCCCTTTTCTGGATTGCGCGGCGCGCCAGCCAACCAAGCAGGCGCCTGCGCGCGCGCTTGCGCTCGGGCTGCCTGAAAGCGGGCGCTCAAGCGCTTGCGCGCGCGCACACGCGCAAGTCTTTGGTTTTCAAATTGAATTCCGGCCCGAGCGCGCCGCGCCTGTGCGGCCCCAGCCCCCTTTTTGGCCGTGATGCGCTGCCTCGAGCGCAGCGGCGCGTGGCACCCGCGGCGCCGCGGCGCGCGAGAGCCTTGCCCCATGCAGCGCCCGCTTGCAGGCGGTGCCCACGGCTCTGTGCAGGGCGCCGGCGCGGCGGGCGTGGCGGCCGCCATTGTGTGCGGCAGTGGCCTCGAATAGTAGAGCGGCCAGGTCCCCCCGACAGGCGTGTTTCCAACACTTGATTAGATAGGAGCCCCCTTGAGCACTGCACCCGGCCCGCTACCAATGTACATCCCCCCGCAGCCGCTAGGACCCGCCTTTGCCGACGCGCCCGGGCCCGCACGCGCGCGCGCCCCAGGCCCCAACCCCCCACATAGGCTCTTGCGCCCCATGCCCCGCTGCCGCGTTCCCTCGGCGCCGCGCGCCCGGCTGGGCGCCCCGCCGCTGAAAACAAAAGACGAGAGGGTGCACATGCGCGCGCGCCTTCGCGTGGCGCGGCGCGCGCGCACGCCCTCTGCTTCTCCAGGCCTCTCCCCCCCCTTGCGCGGCGCGCGCCATGTGGCGTCCCGCGCATGCGCCATGTGGCGCGCGCGCGCGCCCGCCGAGGCGCAGCCCCCAGCCTCCCAATTTGGCCGCCGCCGCCGCCGCAGGCACGTGGGGGCGCAGCACGAGAGCAGCTCGATGACCCCTTGGCTTCCACCGCGGCGTTTGCCGCGCGACGAGCGACGCCCGCGCATGCACCATTTTGATGCGGCGCGCGCCGAGGCCCTATCACTTTGTGACCAGTTCGCCCTCGTTTTGGCCGCGCACCCTCAGAGCCTAGTTTTGGCGCCCCTTGCCCCGTGCCCCGCGCCGCCAGGCTGCGACGCCCAGCCTTGCCGATTGCCCCGGGCCCGTGGTGACGGCCTGCCTGCCACATTTGAACCGCACACCCTCTTCTGCACTGGGGCGGCCCACGCGCCGCGCGCTGCCCTGTTTTCGCAGCCACTGTCTATCCGCTTGTTCTATGCGCAGCCCTTTCAGCTGTAATCAAGCACCGCCCAGGCAAACCGATTGGCCGTTTGTACAGTAGTGTTGAGCTGCTGAAAACACAGGCCCAGCAGCTGTGAGTGCATCGCGTGGGGTCGGGGACGTAAGGAGGGGCATGTGCGAGGCAGAGCAGCTGCGCGGCACACGCATGCCGTCACCAGGCCGCCGCACGGCGTGGCGCAACTCTTGCACAACTTTTGTGCGGGGCCTGGGGGTGGCTGCGCGCGGCAGGGGCCGGGTCGCGCCCGGGCGGGGGCGGGGTTGGTCCGGGGACCGCGTGCGGGGTTTGTGGCGAGCTGTGCGTTCCCCAGGAGCCTGCGGCGCCGAGGTAGGGGTGGGATCCAAGGCATGACACAGGGACGGCGTTGTCCGACCATTGGCCGGGGCCAATCGCGGATCGCCCCTGGAGGCATCTGGCGATCTGGGCTTGTGGGGGTGGGGCGCAGAGCATTGGCTGGGCTCGGCCACTGTTTGAGTCTGCTGCGAACGCCGTGCCCCCTAAAGGCAGCCGCAGCCCCCGCGGACCGCGGGCCGATGGTTGATTTGCCCGCAGCGTTACTGCTTCTCCACGCGGCGCCTGTGCGCTCCCGTGTCCCGCGCGCCCACTGAACACTCCCACGGGAGCCGGGACCGCTCTGAAGGGAGGGCGACAGCGCGGTCGCTGAGCACTACGTATCACACCATGTCCTGCGCGCCGCTGCACAAAAGTTCCTCCTCGCGTCCCCCGCAGGCCGGCACCAGGCGGTCGAAACAATCGGGCATTTACGACGATCCCGCAGTTACAATCCGACATCGGCGCGCGCCCAAACTGGCCGTTTCATGGCGCAGACGCTCCAGGTAAATGAGGTCCAGATCGATCAAGGAGATTGCGGCCCAGATCGCGCAATCGAGGCCGAGATCACACCTAGGATCGCACCAGATCACCCCAGGCCCGCGATCGAGTCGATGATGACCCGGTATCCCTCCAGCAGCGGCTGCCGCGCCCGCACCGCCTCGCACACGGGCAGCATGTCGGCGGGGTCCATATTGGGCTGCTTTGTCAGCCACAGCAGCAGGTGCATGTCCGCCAGGCGGGCCTCGTAGGGTTTCGAGGAATGGCGCCGCAGGTGGTCCCGCAGGTCGCCCTTGGTCTGGGGGATGAGCCTTGGGGGGGGGGGATCAGATGACGGCGTGGGGGGGTGGGATATTGGGTTCCTATAACTGTCGTTTTGCGACTGTGAGGATCCTGTAGGGTAGGGTTGCCCCGTGCTGGAGCAGTCCAGGGTGGTGGGGTTGGGCTTTGAGGCAGGCAGTGATCGAGGGGGGGGGGCCCGGTGGCGGGATGCGCTGGCCCTGCTGAGGCTGGGGGCTGCAACCTGGAGCCAGCCTCCAACGCCGGACGAGGGCGTTTGTGCAGCTGCATACGTGGAACGCGGGTGGCACAAGCAGGAAATGCAGGCGCAATGCGCACAAGCAGCCTGCAAATGCGTGCGCGTGCGTGCGCACACACGCACGCACACACACTTGCGTACGCACGCACACACACACACAAACATACACATGCGCACGCCCAAACGCCGGCCCCCGACAACCACCCCCACCCCATATACACACACGCACACACTCCCTCCCCCACACACACCAACACACACACACGCCTACCTGTTTTCCACAGGGAACGCCGCCATGAAGGGCCCCTCGTGATCCAGGATCTTCAGGGGACACAGGAACCAGTCGCTGTCAACCACGGTGGCGTCCTTGCCTAGAAATGAGGAGTGGTGGAGGTGGGGTGAGCGTTGGGTGGGTGTGGAGGGGGGCGGGCACTTGAGGCTTCGGCCGCATGGGCAAACACAAGCTTTGGGTTTGGTGCTTGCGTCGTCGTGCTTCGTGCTTGGCCCGCGAGCCAGGCTTTGCGGGGGTTGAGTTGCAGGGGCACGCCCGCGTTCTGTCCGTCCCTGCAGGGGGCTCGTCGGCCGGGGCTTTCTTGCGCCCGCACTGAGCCGAGCGCCCGGCAGGCGGAGCAGCGGAACGGCTCGCCCTGCCCCTATCACAGGATCCTTGCCACCAGGCTCTGCGATATCCCGCCTCCAACCCAATCCCTGATCGGATCCCATTTCGACGTCTCCAGGTTGCGACGGGCTTTCCAACACCCAGCACCCCAGGCCCGAGCCTTGCTCCAACGCCGGCACCCGCACACCCCAAGCCGCCCGCCGTAGCGCACTCATCCCACCAAGGCAGACGCCAACAAAGCGCCGCAACCCGCCCGCCCACCTGCCACGATCGCGGGTTCTTTGAAATCGGGCTCTGTTGGATTGACGATCTCCACCGCGCCGCTCGGCCCGCCGCCCTCTGCCGGCGCCTCCCCCTTGATCCAGCCGGTGCGGGACAGCTCCACCGCCTGTGCGCTGCACTGGAACGCCTCAAAGTGCACGTGGCCGCCCTGGGAGGATTCGGGCGGTTTTCGAAGGTTTTGGGCAGTTTCAGGTCGCGTGGGGGTAGCGTGCTCGCGGTGGCGCGTTCATGCACGTTTGAAAGGCTTGAGTTTTGTTCGGGCATCTTTTGCGGGGGCGGCCGCCAACCCTGAATGGTCAAGAGGCGCGATGCTTGTCAAAGTTCTCTGGTTATAAACCACACATATCCCCAAAAGAAGGTGTCGCGTCAATGCAGGCGTGCCAGGAGGCAATCCTGGGTGAGCATTTTTGAACAAAGTCCCATGCCCGCACGCAAACATGCACCATCATGCGCACCACCGCCTCAGCAGTCCTGCTGCAATGATTGCTGGCCTCTCACAGCATGCTTGCACGCATGCGTGCACACACACACGCATGCATACACGTGCGCACACGCACACAAACACGTGCGCACGCACGCACCACCTTGCTCTCACCTGTTCGTTTGGGTCGAACGACACCACCACTGTGACACTGTGCTCCCCCAGCTCACCCTGTCGAGAGAACAAAGACATGGCAGGTGGAAGAAGCACCGTGGGCGGGCGAGCAAAAAACCCTACCAACCAACAAACAATAAGACATTTCATGTCACCCCTGCTACCCCTTAGCTACGTGCCAAGCGGCCACGCGCATCAACACGACCAGTCGCGCAGCCCATTCGTGAGTGTGCTTGACCGGCCCTGCTGCCGGGGGAGGGACCCATGGGACAAGGGAAGGATGCAGCAGGCTTACTCCGCGGCGTCCGCGCCGCAGCCGCCCCCGCCCGACCCGCCCCTCCGCCCCCTATCCAGCCGGCCCGGAGGCGCGCCCGCCGCCCGCCGGCCCAGAGGCGCTGCCGGCGCTCCCACCTGCACCGCCGCCATCTGCGCCACCTCTGCGCCGCTGATGATGTAGTCCCGCTGCTTGTTGGACTGCGCAAACACCCAGCCGACCTTCTTTAGGCCCATCAGCTCCGCCAGAAAGTCGACCTGCACAGGCACAAGGGCAGCACCACGCCGTGCGCCGTCAGGAGCTGGAACAGCGGACGCCGACAGCGTGCGGAGGGCGGCCAGGCGGCGCACGACGGCCGCGGCCCGCCAAACAGCAGCGGACCGCCGCGCCCGGCGGCCTGGGCGCAGAGGGGCAAAGGAGCACGCGCTCGAGCCGGCCCGCAGGGATGCTGGATGGAGCATGACTTGGGGTAAACTCCACACAACCAGGCAGACAGGCAGACAGCAGCTGAGAGCTCGGCGTGGAAGCAGCCGGCCGGCCGGCCAGCCGGCAACGCGCGCCCCAACCGCGCGGGCGGCCCCACCTGCGCCTCCTCCGGCGTGCCGCGCTCCAGCGTGAGCGCCTCTGGGCCGCCCTCTTGGGGCGGCTCGTAAACAAACTCCACTTTCACGTTGAGGGCCTCATCC